CTCTGCTCATCACCCAGTGATGGTGTAGGGTTAGGCGTAGGGTTGGGTGCCACCCTCATACCACTGAACTTGTATGAATTTATATGAATCAGCTACAAAATGTAAAATACTTACGTTTCCTCGTGAGATCAGGCCGGTTTAAACAGTAGCTGAAGCCTGTCGCTGAAAACAACCACGTAATTTATTCTTTCATCCAAGTTTATCTGAGTTCTGTTGCACAGTTGTGCTCCTTTCATTTATTTAACTACTACTGTTTTTTAACAACTGTTTATTAAGTTGAAGGTTTGATACTGATTAGAACTGGTTTTTAAAAAGTCTTTAAAAAAGGTATTGAAAGTACCTTTAGCATTCCTGCATATACCCTATAAGTGCAGTTAGGGCTGGGTAATATATTGATTAAATATTTTTAAAGCAGTATGAGGCAGTCCCGTTTATATCGAAAAAGCAGTATAGAAATACATCTGAAAAATAGTGGAGCACAGAATAAGGAAAGTCCATAATCCAATGAATCAAACTTTATATTAAGGGCTTTAAATCTGTAAATGTGAGAAAGTCTTGAAGATGTGTCATAAATAGTGAGGTAGTCAAAACAGTTTAAAGTTTAAACAATTTTGTGGACATAATTAGTGGCATAGCATGGTTAAGTTTACTGTATTTCTTTTTACAACCTTAGCTACGAACATTGTTTAATTCAACAACACTGCACAAGATGAACAAATGTAAAACAAATATCGATTAATTTTTGTATTCAGACATGGAAAGTACAGAAATAGAAAAATAGTTATTAAAACTATTATGTTTAGAAATGTGTTGAAGAAATCTTTTCTCCGACAGAAATTGGAGGAAAAAAAATATTTAGGGGGGCTAATAAATCTGACTTCTACTGTATGTTCATAATATGCACATTATTTCAAATATTTTTTCAATATTACATACATGATGTTAATGACACAAAAAATTAATTTCTATTAACTTAGTTTTGTAAAGAATAAATATTCTATATTAGTACTCAATTCAACCTTATAGAAATGAAAACTTCAACTTAATGTTGTATAATGGTATTTAACTTGGAACTGTTTTAGTAATTATTTGAAGAAATGTCAAAGTAATGAACTTGAGCAAAACTTTCTAGTACTTGTGGTCCCATTTTCAGTTTTTCCTGTGTATTTACACAGTTGTATTGTGGCTTTTCAGGTGTAAAAACTCTGTTTTATGACCTCCTGGGTTAATTTTCCACTCAACGTACTGTGGCACATTTATACTCACTGCCTGTTGCCATCAAAACATTGACTGTTACAATCAGCATTGTGTACCTGTAGCATTGAGCTCTCTTTCATGGGTTACTTATAGGTAACTTGTTGCATGTATTGTGTGGATATATCTCATCATATAGATTGTAACAAGAAGACAGTGTTGTTTAATTATTGTACACTTTAAAAGCATTAAAATGTACAATAAAACTATTAAAATATAATTGAAATAGAGTGCTGAAAAAATAAACACTAAATACTATGTACTTATCCTGAGTGCAAAGAATTGTGAAAGAGGTACATTACTTATTGCTTTTTTCCTTTAGTGTAGTTGTTAAAACACTTTGTCTAGGCCTGCACTATGTATCGTTTCAGCATTGATATCATAATGTGCGCATCTTCAATACGTCACAGAATCTGGAATGTCAAGCTGCCATCATAATTAACCAGAACCACAGTTCAGTATGCATGATTTGTAGACTCTTTGTGAATTTTAACCACAATCTAATGTTGCGAAGATAATCTAATTGTGTGAAGAATCTAATGTGAAATATTTTTACTTGGATGTGTTTTTAAGGTTTGCAACTGTAAAATACAAAGCAAAATTAGACCATTTGGGGCACATAAAAATATCAAGTTTACTGCTTTAACAAAGAATAACTGTTTAATTATTTATAAAATGAGGACTATACAGCGTTATTTCAGATTTGATAACTGAATTTCTGTAACTCAATATTTCACCGAAAACCATGCTGATGCCCTCCTTTACAAAGTCATCCCAATCAATGTAAAATGATCAATTCTTTCCAAACAGTTACTTAAGTCATATTTTGTGATATAATATTCATAGCACAATATTTAATCGCAGAAATATAAAATATTCAATTTTTTTCCTATATTGTGCAGCCCTAGTTGGTCTGGACTTTTCTTTTAAGATGTTAATATTTTTCTTCAGCAATGATGCATTAAAATTATGAACTTTCTACTAATATGAAGATGGTAGTCTACACAGCTCTTTTCAAATATGATATTAATAAAAAACAATACGTTAATACACCAAATCAGCATGTTAAAATTATTTCTGAAGTATCTTACCATACTGAAAACTAAAGTAATGATGCTGAAAATCTAGCTTTGCCCTTACAGGAATAAATACAATTTATTAAAATAAATAAATTAAAATAGAAATAGTTTATTTTATTAGAAATAGAATATTATTTATATTTGTAATAATGTTACATATCATACATTTTCTAACTGCATAATTTACAAATCTATACGTTACAGGCTTGGCAAGCCTGTTACAGGTTTTTGGTTGCTTGGCAATCAAATAAATAACTTACATTTCAAAAAATCTTAAAATATAGACAACAATATTTCACACTAATATTTTATTTTGCTGTATTCTTCATCAAATAAATACACTTGACCTGGTTGATGATAAAAAGAATACTTTTCTTAAAACATTTCTTTGAAGGGGGGTGCATGCTTTCTGTCAAGATGAAAGTAAGTGACCCGTGTGTGGTCATTTAAAGTGAGATTAAGACATGGGGCCCCAAGCAGGCAGACACATTCAGAAAATGCATGCAGATAAAATTACTCCTGACCCCTAGACGGCCATTCACAAAGCACACTCACGTGAGGGAGTCGGTGCAGGAACAGACAGGCTATGGGGCTGCCAGACAGCTGGGGCCCAACACTAGCCCAGATTACACATGACCTCTCGTCCCCTTCCACCCCCAGTCAACCCCGGAGGATTAAGAAATTACATTTCAAACACAGCACTTCGTAACTGATTACAACTGGCATTCGCTGTGAAATTAGACACAAATATACATGTGGATAAGCTTGCTAAAGAGGGTGGGTGAAAGGGGAGGAGCCAAAGACCCTGATGTATGGGATGCTTGTAGGAAAAGTTAGTCTGTGAATACTTTTGTTTTATTAAAATATCCAAAATCCACTAAAACGGTGTTATGAATTTTGCTAACATATACTTGTATTGTCCCAAATATTTTGAAGAAATCAAATCAAATTCAGAGAAATAAGCTATTATATTTAGTCATACGGACCGTATCATGTGTCGCCATGATAATGATGTCACACATGACATCATGTGTGATTAGTTTTATGGAAAACAGGGAAACTCCAATGACGATTTAATGTGTTGTGTATTTTATTAGACTGCACAGGGCAGCATTCCTTCCACTTAAGAATAAACACTGTCATAATTTACTCGTGTTCTAATCCTCTTTGAGTTTCTTTCTCCTGTTAAAAAATACTGTAAAACTGTAGCCATTGACTTCCATTAAAAAAAAGGACATATTGGTAACATTTAAAAATACGTTAACTTGTGTTGACTTGAAAACAAACATAAAACATACAGTTGAAGTCAGAATTATTAGCCCCTCTTTGAATTTTTTTGAAATTTTTCCCAAATTATGTTCAACAGAGCAAGGATTTTTTTTTAGTATGTCTGGTAATATTTTATAATCTGAAGAAAGTCTAATTTGTTTTATTTTGGCTAAAATAAAAGCTTTATTTCTTTAACACCATTTTAAGGACAAAATGATTAGCCCCTTTAAGCTATATTTTTGTTTCAATAGTATACAGAACAAACCATTGTTATACAATAACTTGCCTAATTACCGTAACCTGCCTAGTTATGCTAATTAACCTAGTTAGGCCTTTAAATGTCACTTTAAGCTGTTTAGAAGTGTCTTGAAAAATATCTACTCAAACATTATTTACTGTCATCATGACAAAGATAAAAAAAATCAGTTATTAGAAATTGATTATGTTTAGAAATGTGTTGAAAAAAATCTTCTCTTCAACTGTGTAACCACTATATTTTGTGTGGCAAACTGTCCTTTTAAGAACACTTTGACTGTGCACCTGCAAAAACTGTTTTGCTCATATATAAATATTTATCTGGAATAGAATTGAACAGGGGATTTTAGTAAACAAACATATTAAACAGCCATTACTTCAATATTTAATGAATCATAATACTTTTGAAATAGTATAGTTGAACGCGGATTCACCCTGCTTTGAGTGAATTCTTGGAATTTCAAAATCACTCAATCATAATGATCTAAGTGATCTGTTAGGTTTGTATTCAGTGAAAATACAGTATCCGCTGCAGCGTATTGAAGTCCCAGGCTATTTAGTGATTTATAAACTAGTAATAACACTTTAAAATCTATTCTGAATGTAACTGGAAACCAGTGTAAAGACCTGAATGTCATAAATGTCTTTGCTGTCACTTTTAACAATAATGCAATCTTTTTTTTTTTTTTTTTTGCACAGTTTGATTATTGGTTAATATGGCAGCATTCTAGTGTTAAATCAGTGCTCTGCTCATCTTGTGTCCGCATATATTTATCTTAATTCTTCAGAGTTTCATTCCATTCATTCCATTCAAATGGAATTCATTCATCTTTTATGCAAATCTCATGATTAAGTCTTTGTTTTTAAATGAAGTATACTTCCATTTCAGCCAGTTTACTGTGGTCAAGGGCCAGGGGGTAGAGAGCTTTGAACATTGTTAGGTAACATGTCAATCAGATCACAGTTCCTTCATGGAGCTCTCTTCTAACAAGCTAGTTAACATAAATAAGGTGTGATAAACAAGAAAGGTGTGCAAAAATTGCAGAGCAGAGGTCGCGAGGTATAGATTGAGAACCACTGCACTATTTAACATTAGCTATTGATTATCATCATTGCTTAGCAAGTCATTTTGCTTTCTTTCAGGTGGTTTCATCCCAACATCACTGGGATCGAGGCAGAACACCTCCTCCTGACACGGGGCGTCCATGGCAGCTTTCTAGCACGACCCAGCAAGAGCAACCCAGGAGATTTCACTCTGTCTGTCAGGTCAGCATAGAGTATGCACTCCTTTACACCTGCCTTAATATGAGTCTGCTCTAGATTTATGTTTTTTTTTTCTCTCCTCAAGACAGTTATCAAGCTCGTTATGTTGTTTTGACCTTTTGTGGTTGGTTTGTGAAGTTGAGCATGAATTGCATCTCTTCTGTTAAATGTTTATCTGATGCGTTATTGATTTCTTGGAAGTGTACTTGTTAGCCTAACCGACTTTTTTCATGCTTGGTAAAGCATTAAAAAGCTTGTTTATGTCATAGATTTCAGTCTTTGTACTGAAAACTCACTTCAACCATAAAAAGGAAAGAAAGTATTCACTAAAATATAGGGGTGTTATGGATCACGGTTGATTCGTGATTCGTACGAATCACAACCCACGATTCGGAACACACGTGACCCACGAATTAATGCATTTTTTTATTTGGAACGATCACAGAGAAATCGCCTCTCACGTCATTCAAATCACATGTATGAAATTAAAGGTGTTTTCTGCCACCACTTGTTTAACCTGCATCAATGCATTCATTGTAAGCTGCACGATTAATCATTAAAAGATCAGGATCTCAATACCCCCGCAACATAAATTATAAATGATGGTGATTTGCGTATGTTTCAAACCGCTGCATTCACATGTGAAAATGCAAAATTCAAGAAAGAGATTCAGTCTTTAGTCTAGTCTTTAGTCTAGAGTTTTGAAGTTACAAACAGTCAAATAACACAAAAGTACTGAGATAACAGTTTATACAATAGTTTAGAGATAACCACTGATGTTTATGGTAAAGATTAAAATCATTGTCAAATGCATTTAAGGGCGTACTCACATAAGGTACAGTTACCTTGAACCGCGCCGAAGCTCCCTTCTGCCCCTCAGCCTGCGCTCACATTGCATTTTTTACCTACCTTTTACCAACGTTTATGTTATCGATGCTGCAAATTTTCAGTTTGACAGGAAGAGAAGCGCTCTTGCTCAGAACAGTGTAGATTGGTTTAGTTATATCGTTTTAATTGTTTGGGATACAGTGACACGCAGTCAAATATTTTGCCAAACAGATCAGCCACTTTTGACGCTCATTAATGGTCCTCGTTCTGCAGGTACAGTATTAGGAGATTTGACAAAGGTGCAGCTGTCATGCAGTGATGGGTTTGCGTCTTTAATAAACTAACACAGTTTTTGTTCATTGAACTGTAAGAATGAGTAATAAATCCATATGAAACAGTCCCTTAAAAGTGATGTTGCGTCTTCAGTTTCGGGCTTAGGTGCGCTTTGCAATCACACTACATGCGTACCTTGCCAAAGCCCAACTAAACCATGTTCTGGCAGACTGGCACACCTCTTCCAACCAGGCCAGTACAAGCCAACTGAACTGCACCTGAGCACGATTCAGAGCATTCACACTTCTCTGGGAAATGTGCCGGTTTGGATAAAAATTAAAAATAAAAGTTGCAGTCAGCAATTACATTATTCAACCAATAGGTAGTGACAACCAGCCATCAAAAATATGTCACTGAATAATTCTTTAAAATGACACATCTAGCTATGAAACATGAAGTTTTATAAGTGAATAACTGAATCATTTATTGAAAATGAGACTAAAATAAATGGATTGTACAAATTATAAAGTTAGATTTCTACATTTAGCTTTATCAGCAACAGTAGTAGTGACAGTGAATTTTTCACTGTCCTGAATATTTTACTATTTATTTTTATTAAGCTGATTATTTCTTCATTTTATTTTTAATGAAATTACAGGTTCTAAGTTCTGTTTGTTAAATCCAAAAGTTTCTTGCGGCACTCTTTTTGTAATAGAAAGCAAATTACATTTGTCTCCTCTTCTTTTTGGCTGATCCGAAAAAGAGTCAGATCCGTGACAAAATACCATAATGTAATCCAAACTATGAGATTTGTGATCCATTACACGACTGTTAAAATAAGAAAGGAAATATACATTAAAAACAAGGGTTAGGCGATGTCGACCAATTTGACATTGTACGATGTCTAATGTGAAACATTACGAGGGACAATGGCATTGTCATCAGAGGTGGCAGTGAATTAGTTATTTATGAATAATTAATTCATTTAAAATGAATCAATAATTTGTAGCCTGATGTTTCAACTACCTGATCCGCATGGTCTTTGTTTTACCCTTAACCAAATCATAAATAAATAAAGATAAATTTGTTACAAAGTACCACCTGGCAATTACTTCTTCCGCGGGAAAATGAATATGCAGAGTGATCTGTGTCATTATAATGTCGACAAACTTAGTTGGTAAAGAAGGTGACCAACAGGAACCAACCAACATTATCTGAGGTTTTCGCTAATAGAACTAAGCACAAGCATAAAAGCGAAAGATTGAAGCAGTGTACTGATGCTGTGACACAGTACCTTATAGATTCAAAAGACCAAAGAGTCATTAGATAGAGACAAGATTAATTAAATATCATGTTTAGCAACTATAGTGAGACGCAATCCAGCGGTTCATCTTTGATAAACTGTCTGACATGCACTGCTCTCTGGGGCCCGCTGACTGTGTGTGTGTGTGTGTGTGTGTGTGTGTGTGTGTGTGTGTGTGTGTGTGTGTGTGTGGTCACGTGATGTGCGTTTTCAATGATATAATGTTGACGAAGGGTTTTTCAAAAATGCTAGATGAATTAAAAAAATTTAAAACTAAAACGTATTAGTGTAAACAGGGCCTAAGTGTGTATTTTTCATGAGTGGGTTGCTGCTGTAATGTGGGAAAGACAGGGCGGAGAATTGCCATGCCAGCTCAGCATCTTGATGTCTATCGTCCATCACAGATTGACAATGGCATAGTCTGTCGACCTAACCGTAGTAAAAACCATAATTGCATAAAGTAATGCATGCATTGCTTTATATCAGAGCATGTTGAGGACTACAGAGGTACTTTTATTGGTTGCCATTAGTATGGTCAGAGATATACTGTATGACAGCAATAGACAGCATTTTCCCTTTTACTCTCCATAACCATAGAGATTTTACATTGCCCCTTGGCTGGTGTTTAAGAATTACAGTATTGGATTGTGGGCCATTTGTTGCAGGTCTGCAGCTGCTTGTTCGATGAGTGATTGGTGAGGGAAAAATAGGCTCAGACCTGCTTTTTGTGGTTATAGTGGTAAGAGTCTCACTGTATCTAATGTTCTGAAGAACTCAGGCCACGTAGCTCTGCTCCACCGCAAGCCTTCAGGCCTGGAGCCCAGCTGCTGTAGACTGATTTATCTGCCCAGCTGTGAAGCCTTGAGGTCAACTTGTTCAGATTAGCAGATGCATTTACACACCAGTATATAAACAAGTTAATAGTGAAGGCTATTGATTGGTGTTTTTTGGAACCGTGTTTAGTGCAGAAATATCCACAGGAATATACACACAGGCTGGCTCTGTTTCAAAACCTAGAGAGCTATGTTGGGGGCTGCTTTCCCATAGCCCAGAGTGCAATCATTAGATACATTCTTGTTAACACAGATAGCTAATCAGCCAATCATGAGTCAGCAAGTAATGTGGTCATAAAGATCTGTTAAAACAGTTAAAACAGAGCATCAAAACTGGAAAGAAAGTTGTTTTAGGGGATTATGAACATGTTGGTGCCTGATGATGTGGACTGAATATTTCTGAAACTGTTGATGTATTGGAATGTTCTTGCACAACAATTATTTGTGTTTGCATGGAATGACCAAAAGAAGAGAAAAAATCAATTAAGTGGCATTTCTCAATGGTGCCACTAAGTAGATGAGATTGTGCCGAGTAGGATGCGATCCTGGATTAACATCTGTGTAACATCATAATCTATACCTAATCCCTACTCCTAAATCTAACCCTAACTGTAAATTATTCCCAAAATCAGAGGTGATTAATAGTTGGATTACAATGACGAGGAAGCATATACCCTTAGGGCTCTATTTTGACATCCCATGCGCAAAGCGCAGGGCGCAAACCCGTTAGGGGCGTGTCAGAATCCACTTTTGCTAATATAAGGATGGAAAAATCCACTTTGCGCCGGCGCACGTGGTCTGAAAGGGTTGAGCTTATTTTTGTAATGAATTATAGGTGTGTTTTGAGAATAAACCAATCAGAGTCTCATCTCCCATTCAGTTGCGTTGCGCCATTGCGCATTTGATATTAACATGATGGCTTTGTAACTGGAAAAACTGAGCGCTTCACTAGCAAGAAAACAGTTAAATGGAGCATTTGTAGCGCGAAAATGAAAGATAAGCCTTCTCATTATCTACTCTCACTTTCGCTCTCGAGGATAGGGAAACCTTGTACGTACAGACATCAATTAGCCTATAAATAATAAATTTTGTTTGTTAAGCACAAAGATTTGTTTCAAAACTATTTCTAAATTCAGTTCTAATTTCCAGCAAACGAATAAATAAACAATAATAATGAAGTGTGATCAAAAAACTGAGTTATATCCAAATAGACATGCTGTGCCCCACATGGTCTAAAACCTGACAGGTGAGTAAATCTAAGCTTGTTTTTAATAAAACAAATATAAATATGGATATAATAAATACTGCTATAATGATAACATCATACAAAAACAATTGTTATGAATCAACTGAAAAAGCCTTTTGAGATGAAGAAGACATGAAGGCAGTGGTTTTTATATTTATGTAGGCTAGAAAATAACATGTTTTGTAATATTTTAATCCTTTATGTTTATATCCCATATATATTCTTAATATTTTACTTCTTTTTTCATATGTAAAGATATTTGTGTATTGCTCTACATCTTGTGTGTATTAAGCAGTGTGTAAGCGAGGCACACAACTAACGGGCTCTGCGCTGGACAATAGACCGACTTTGTTCTGGTCTATTGAAAAATCTATTATAGCTTCTCAAAATAGCAACGCACCAGCAATGCACCTCAACACGCCTCCCTTTTTAGACCAGAACACCTATGGGCGCATATATGAGCGCAAATTCTGCAGATAGAGCCCTAACTGTAAGCCTAACCTTAACATGAACTCTAAAC